TCACAGGCCTGCTGTATCACATGATTGACAATGATGTTAGCATTTGCATTCTCTTGCTTTTTACTTTAATTTTATAGTAGCCTGGCTCTAAATGGCGATGAAATATTGCACACAAATGTTGCAGACTATTCATGGATAACTAGCTTGTTCTGAGAATGTATTTGAAAAAATGAGGTTGATAATTGTCTGCTTTCATTTCTAGTGGAATAAAGCTGTGGAACTGGCTAAAAACCACAATATGAAAGAGATTGGATCCTTGTTAGCCAGATATGCAAGTCATTTACTGGAAAAGAATAAAATCCTTGATGCTATAGAACTCTATCGTAAAGCCAATTATTTCTTTGAAGCTGCTAAGCTCATGTTCAAGGTATTGCAGGTTTTATTTTTATGTCAAATAACTGGGGCTTTGGACTAGCTCTTATTATTTCCATGCTACTTTTGTTTTCTTGGGATTATTTTAGTGTTAACAATGTCCAGGCAATAAGCAGATGTCATTATACAGGATACTGCAAAGATTAATCCAGCTCCTAAGTTCAGGTCTAACCTCTATCTGCACTAGTTACCCTGGATGTCCTCTGTAGCCAGTGGAGAGGACACTTTCAGGACACAAGCCATCTGATTTGAGACTTTCACTTCAGAATGAGATGAACTGCACCTCAGAAAAGGTCCTGTTGCCCTGCATTGCCTTGTAAAGGAGTATAGTAGACGGCCTGGGTGCAATGTCCACGTTATTTTATATGTTGTTTGGATTAGTTTTATCTCCTTTACTTTTAAAAATAGTAATGTCATTAACTGGAAGTTAAATTTTGGTATTTCTTCAACTGGTACCTTCAGTTAGAAACTGCTGTGGTGTGCTTTTAAGATAAAGATGTTGCTTAGATTTGGTTTGGCTGCAGAGATTTCTGTACATAGCTTATAAAGTCTGTAAGACTGATACATAATTTTTACAGCAAATATTTATAGTAATATATATGTATATATGTTACTTTCAAAAGCCATTCTTCTTTTCTGGGAAAACCACCAGACCTTATTGAAAGCTATGTATTTGTCACACTTCAGTGTTTAAAACTTGCTATTTTTTAGTTTATTTTTATATTAAGTCAATAGACTTATACATGGTTACACTGATTTATCCTTCCCGAGAATCTGGCTTTATATACTTGTTAGCTAAATAAATACAGAATAATGTGCATTCTTCACTTTGACATTTTAATTTATAGTTCTGTTTGCAGTCTAAATTATTACATTCAAATGCAGAATCGTTTTTTGGCGTGATTTCCTAGGTTTGTACAAGCATGCAATTGTCCAAGAGAATGAAGCGCCTCTTCTAATATATATATATATATTTTTTTTATATCTACATTAAATTCCTTGGTTTTGTTTTTTAAGATTGCAGATGAAGAGTCAAAGAAAAGGACAAAGCCTTTGCGAGTTAAAAAGCTTTATGTATTATCAGCCTTACTTATAGAACAGTGCCATGAACAAATGCAAAATGCACAACGGGGGAAAGTTAAAGGAAAAAGTTCAGAGGTAGTGTCTTTTTCTTTCTTTCTGAATTCTGGTATGTCCTACCTAGTCAGAATAAATAAAGCTATCTTCATGTGAGGCTATTATAGTTTTTTAATAACGCTTTTTCCTGCTATGAACAAAGCTTTCCTTAAAGTAAGTCTTCCATGAAAACATATTGTTTAAAGTATTATTTTAAAACATTTAAATAATATGTATTAATAGATATTTTTCTTCCTAAGTTCAATGTGTTTGTCTTAATATTTTCACTATAACAATGAAAATCATACTAAAAACTCCACAATTTTTTTTTTTCTGCAAGACTCTCACGTTCCTGTCATTTAGGAGTAAGTATCAATCCCAAAGAGAGATCTGTGATTAGATTAAGCTGTGTTGGCTATGATTTAGCAGGAAGATGGCTCCAGATATGGCAGAAGCAAATGGAAGCATTTTTTTTTTCTGCTCACACTTTCATCTTCATGTGCACAAATGAAATAGTTTAGACAAAGTTTTAAGAGATCTGGTGTTGAAATGCAGTATTAATCCAAACTATGAACCAGTCTGCAGATGTGCACAGAATATATTTGTACACATGTATATGATATTTATCTTTGAAAATCTGCACCATATGTTCTGCCTATGCACTGTATAAAATGCCTAACAATGTTCGCTTTAGGTCCATGTATTTCTATTTTCCCTAGTTAACACAGATGGTGTAATCACCAGGTACAGAAAAGTTCTTTTCATATATCCCCATTTCCTGCTGTATCTGTTTCGTATAAAAACTACTTGTGATACTGCTTTGTTTTCAGACTGCTTCAGCTTTGGCTGGTTTGCTAGAAGAAGATGTTCTTTCTTCAACTAATCGCTTTGCAGACAATGCTTGGCGAGGAGCTGAGGCTTACCATTTTTTCATACTTGCACAAAGACAGCTTTATAAAGGTTCTGTAGATGCAGCACTTAAAACAGGTAGGACTTCCATTTTTAACCCTGTAAAGAAACTGTTCAAATTTTGCAGATCTGCACAGCACATAAGTTCATTTGTAGTTGGCACATTTTTCTATTCTTGCTAGAAGCATGGAATTTAGAACAGAACCATATAATGAATTGAATGTGGCTGCAGTCAAGATAACTGGAAAGTATTTTCTTGGGAGACAATGCAAATTTTAACTTACCAAATATTACCTGGTTAAACTGGACAACATCTGTAGATGTTCTGTTGACTGTTTTGTTTCTTTCTTTAAATTACAAGGCATGCCTGAATTCATATCACTCCTCCATGTAGAGCTTCAGAAAAAACTTGTGGGAGTTAGAGAAGCAAAGAGCGCCCTATACTTTGTCCAAGTAATGAAGGTCCATTTCAAATACTTCTAACATGTTTGGTTTTTTTTTTTAAAAAAAGTGTCTCAAAAAGGCACTTTAATTTCCCAGTCAGATCCCCTTATTTTTATTTATTTTTAAAAAGTGTTGAGCCACTTTGGTTCACTGTGTCCAATTTGTAAGACTAGTACTGTCTAACAGTAGCAAATGCTTCATACAGATGCTTGCACTTCACAGAAGACATGTAATAATTTCCTTCCCCCCCCCCATTTCTTAGCTCTTCATTTGCGAGATTATGAAGACATTATCCCTGCAGTTGAAATCTATTCCCTTTTGGCACTCTGCGCATGTGCAAACAGAGCATTTGATATTTGTTCTAAAGCCTTTGTTAAACTAGAATCCTTGGAAACTCTTAGGCCAGAGCAGAGGCAACAGTATGAAGACCTTGCTCTAGAGATATTCACGAGACATTGTCCGAAGTATAACAAAAAATCTGATCTGGATTATGCTCTTGAGAGGTAGGTTTATATTTATATGATACCGTAATAATACTAGCATTCTTTTCTGCTATTGTCTGCATTTGGGTTTTAGCAGGTTTTGTGTGACCAATTGGGTGTTTTGCTACTTAAACCAAATATTGGGCAAGAATGATGCAGGGTTAGCCAGTTTGCAGAAAGGGTAATACAACACTATTTTATTTGGGAGAATAGACACTGACTGCATTTGAGGAACTCAGTGTAAAGATATACCTTCATCTTAATTTGAAATACATGTGGACAGAGCACAGAAGTTTTAGGACCTTTGGTAAGGCGTCATGTGCCATTAAAGTAATAATGTTACCGTTTGCATCACCTTCGTGGTGTGATGCAAATGTCAACAAGTGAATGTTTAACCATTATTAACTAATAAGTCTCCAGTGTTTTGTGAATTACCTAAATCTACATGGTGTGAGAAGGTGAATATATCAAGTGAAAGAATTAGAATATGAAGGGCACCTTTAAGGGGTAAGTCCTTGGAGTGGCTGTACCCACAATGGTGTCTTTTACGTATGTTTCCTGCTAACAGCATGGAATTTGTATGGGAATTCATTGTGAATCGATTTTCTTTTTAATGAATAGGATTTTAATCTGTCTTGTTTTACTGTGCAGACGTACAGAATCTCACTAGTGGCTTTCATGTTGACTCTTCAGAGGAATAAATGTAATAGTAGTGCAGGTGTCTAATTGAACCTTACATTTATATGGCCTTTGCTGCTTCTTTTCACTTAATCTTTTGGATCTGCTGGTCCCGATTTGTTGACTGTATGGTTCTGGGGGTGTGCATTCTGTTGTGTGAAGATTTACATACTTGGCTATATTAACAGTGAAGTGTTACGTGATTTAATAACTTCTAATCAAAAAGTGGCACACAGCTGAATAGAGAAGCAGTATTTTACAGATGAGCATTGCAAGTTTTGTAGCTAGCTGTAGGCACACAATTAGGTATTTATGCTGTTTTGCAAATTACTACAAAATGAGTCTTTGTTGCTATTTTAAAACCATGTTTTTATTCTTTCAACTTTTTTTTTTTTTTTTTTTAATAGTGGAGATGAGAAACTTCCTATATGTGTTGCAACAGGAGACCCTATCCTGGAGTATCGATTCTGGATGTGCAGTGTATGTAAGCATTGTATGAAAGCCAAAGAAGCGAGCAATTATAACTTCTGTCCTCTGTGCCACAGTACAGCATAGCAGAGGATAAAGGACTGTTTATCCTTGTTATCTGTTATGTCTCCTAAAAATACTCTATAAAACGTTACCAATGTACTACATTTTAAAATACAATTCAGGTACTCTATTGTAACAACAGATAGTGCCACTGTTAGAGAAAAGTTTTTTAAGAAAAACCCAGAAAACCCACAAGATAAACCTTTAGTGGTTCCATTTATGTGAAGAAACAACTGTGTAAGGCTGCATTTTTGTTACTTCTTTTTAGAAAGGTTTAAGGTAAAAAGCATTCTTTTCTAATGGTAAATTTAGCCTGGTTTCAAAACCGTGCAAACTGAATGTAGGTTCATCTTAGTATGTTTCAATCTGAGCAAGCTCCGTTTTTCATTTTTGTAATTCCATAGGAAATTACTGGGTTTTCTCAAAATGCATGGTTTTTTTGAAGGAAGTAATACCTGAGCTGAAGTAATGCCACGGTAGCTGTGATACTATTACTGTGTATGTTTTACTACCGCTGTTTTACTAGAGCGATGGTGCCAGTTTAGGCCTAAGTTTGTGCCGCTTTCTTTTGCCAAGTGTGTTTAAACCCACCGTAGCAATAAAGGGCTTGCGAACGGGAGCCATCGGTGCCGTCAGTCTGCCTCTGGCCTGCCGGCCTTTGTGATGCCTTCAGGAAACCTCTGTGAACCTTCAGACCTTCAGGAGTCTGGTCATGAGCTTTTTTAAGTACCTTGAGGAGAGCAGCTGACGTCTGTCGAACAGCTTTCAAGAGCCGAACGCCCTCCCTGGGCCTCGGGGAGGTCTGAGGGAGGCGGTTTCGGCCAGACCCGCTCCGCGCCGTTCCGTTCCCCGGCGGGCTCTGTCAGCGCTGCACACGGCCCCGCCGCCCCCCCGCAGGGGGCAGCGCGAGCCCCCTCACGGCTGTCCTCAGGGGCAGGCGGCGCCCCTCGCCTCAAGCGAGCCCAGGTGGGGACGAAGCCCGTTTGGTCTGGAAAACGCTAAGTACTACTGGTTCGGTTTGGGTTTTTTTTTTTTCTTTTTCTGGCCTGCTGTTGGCGCTTCTTTGTCGCTCGCAGCCATGTCGGTCGGAGGGCTGCGCCGGTT